TACAGACTCCAACGGTCTGTAAAAATTGCAAACTACAGAACTCCAACGNGTCTGTAAAAATTGCAAACTACAGACTCCAACGCTCTCTAAAAATTGCAAATTACACACTCCAACGGTCTGTAAAAATTGCAAACTACAGACTCCAACAGTCTGTAAAAATTGCAAATTACACACTCCAACGGTCTCTAAAAATTGCAAACTACAGACTCCAACGCTCTGTAAAAATTGCAAACTACAGACTCAAACGCTCTCTAAAAATTGCAAACTACAGACTCCAACAGTCTGTAAAAATTGCAAACTACAGACTCCAACGGTCTGTAAAAATTGCAAACTACAGACTCCAACGGTCTGTAAAAATTGCAAACTACAGACTCCAACGCTCTCTAAAAATTGCAAATTACACACTCCAACGGTCTGTAAAAATTGCAAACTACAGACTCCAACAGTCTGTAAAAATTGCAAACTACAGACTCCAACGCTCTCTAAAAATTGCAAACTACAGACTCCAACGCTCTCTAAAAATTGCAAACTACAGACTCCAACGCTCTCTAAAAATTGCAAACTACAGACTCCAACGCTCTCTAAAAATTGCAAACTACAGATCCTCTATCAGGGTCTAAAATAATGCAAACCATCGCCAGGTGGATCTACGCCAAGTAGATCCTGCGAGGGATTAACTTGAAATTCATTCCATGACAATTTCTACGCAAGAAATGGCTTTTGAGGATGATGATAGTCATTTTATACTATTTCACTCGACTTTGGCCACACAGTCTGTTCGTTTTGTCTCGTTGGATCGTGACAAAGTGTTCATGACTGAGCAGAAAGTTGCACTAAAAAGGACAACTTGCCAGCAATTCCGGAAATACTATTTTACACTACTTTGGCCACACAGGCTGCTCGTTCTGCCTAGCTTGATCGTTACAAAGTGTTCATGACTGTAAAAGCTGAGCAGAGTGTTGCACTAAAAAGGACAACTTGCCGGTAATTCCATACTATTTTACACTACTTTGACCACACAGCCTGCTCGTTCTGCCTAGTTGGATCATTACAAAAAAATCATATTCCTGTTGAAAACTGTAAAGCTGAGCAGAAAGTTGCACTAAAAAGGACAACTTGCCAGTAATTCCGGAAATACTATTTTACACTACTTTGGCTACACAGCCTGCTCGCTTTGTCTAATTTGATCTTTACAAAGTCTTCATGACTGTAAAAGCTGAGCAGAATGTTGCACTAAAAAGGATAACTTGCTAGTAATTCCGGAAATACTATTTTACACTACTTTGGCCACACAGGCT